AGCAGGCAGACCTGCCTCATTCGTGTTAACCCTTGCACAACTGCCTGCTGCTGATGGCTCCCTGCATCCTGGGCAGCAGATCCGGTGGTCACAGCCCTGGGCCCCTGCAGACCAGAGACAGCTCTGCGAGTGCATCCCTACAGTGGGCTGGCACATCAAGCAGTGTGCAGTTTTAGATTTGCACAAATGCTTACAGCTGGGTTAGGTCCCTGGCTCCCCAGGCACTTGCCGCCCCCAACAGAATGTACATGCTTTTTGCAGCAGCATTGAAGCAGCTCCTGCCATGGCCCCCCACCCTCTGCCCTGAGTATACAGCTGGTGATCACACAGATTCCATCTGCATCTTGGGGGCCTACAGCTCCCCAGTCCCACCTTTGGTCTCAGGGATGGGGCCACAGGCTCCCTGCCTCCCAGGGTGTGGCTGCCTAGGGCTAGGGACTAGGGCTAGGGACCTCATCCCCCAGGCCCTAGCTGTGTTGGGGCTGGGCCTTTGCTCTCAGGCCCACACCCTGCCCCTGCTGGGGTCTATACCCCAGAGCTGCCCTCTGCTGGGCTGGGTCCCCATCAGCTGGGGCTCTGGCAGGAGATCAGGGGAGGGGCTGAGGCCAGGTGCCCTCCTTCCCTCAGTGTGCCACAGGCAGCTTTCCTGGCAGTGGCCATGTCTCCTCCAGCCCCTGGTCCAGCTTCTCCCAGTGACTATGGGCCTTGGGCTCGGGCTTCCTGCCAGTTGTGTTTCCTGCCTGGATTGCCCCTGCAGCTCCACGGCAACTCCCCTCCCTTTTGTTAACACTTCCCTGTCTGAAATTTTCCTGTCTTTGAAAGGCTGCAGTGGTTTCTGTGTTCCCAGCTGTGTGTGTGCCTGGGTGGGATGATCTGGGTAAGGGGGGTGGTGTGTGTGACATGGTTCAGTGCTCCACGTGCTACTGAGTGCTCTTCATTAGCTCACTCCTCTAATGAGGCAGCTAGCCTGACAAAGGCAAGTCACAAGTCTTTTTAAAGACAGAGGAGCCATGTCTTTGTGCATGGGGTAGGGCTGTGTGTGTGGGGGGAGATCCCTCCAATGCATGTCTGTGGATGCTAGGTCTGGCTCCCAACAGTGCCCCTCAGCCAGCCGGGGAGCCCGTTTCTGCCTGGCCTCAGAGCTGTGGACTCGTACCTATGCCACATCCCATCAGGGCCACTCTGGGCAGGACGTCACCCCTATGGAATGTGGCATGCCCCTGCAGCTGGATGCTCTGCTGGCTGTGTGTTGCCAGCAGAGCTGCATCTGGTGAAGCCCAGAGACTGTCACCAAACCCAGGAGGCCCATGGAGCCACATGCCCCTGTTGTCCACGGGCTGGAGGAAGGTGTATGGTTCAGCCAGGATCAGAGAGCTGGTCTGAAGGGATGCAGGCTAATGAGAGCCTGGATTCAGACCACTGGGAGACCAGAAGTCGGGAAAGAACCAGGGTGGGTTGTGGGAGCAGAGGAAACCACATGGGTCAGGAGCAGTGAAGGGTTTAGTGTGTGCATGGCCACGGGCACCCCAGTGAGGGGGCTGCTTGGCTCCCACTCATCCTTCATTCTGCTCAGCCTTAGATTCCCTTGACAACTGGCTTCCCGGCAAGTCCAGCCCACAAGAGACGGGCATTGGGGTGATGCATCTGCTGTCAGCTGCTCCTGGCCTTGGCTGGGCCCCTTCTGTGGCCCCTGCTTTCTCCCTGGCCCCACCCCAGGCTCTGCTCCTGTCCCCTCCTCCCCTGACCTTTCTGCCCCACAGGTGTGGAGGCTATGCCTGTTCCTGGGATACCTCATTGCTTTGGCTTTCCGGGGTCTCCCACACCCTTGTGACCCATGTCCCACGCAGAGCCCATCCACTGAGTCACTGGAAGGGTCTTGCTTTCCTGTCTGGATCCTCTGACAGAAAGGCCAGGTGCAAGGCAGAGATGTACATGGAGGGAAGGAATGTGGTCTCATCTGAGGCAGGGGCTGTGAAGTGAGTGAGCTGGGGTGACGTCCTGCCCGGGGTGGCCCTGCTGCACTGGGAAGGATGAGAGTAGGGGCTCTGGGAATCCAGGAAGGGGAGAGGGAATGTGGCTTGGGTTAACAGAGGAACCAAAGACACTCGGGTACGCATGGGCTCCAAGATGGAGGAGCGACCCAGAGAACCCTCAGATCAGAGGTCATGTGAGAGCTGTGCCTGAATCCCTGTCCTCTGCAGGCCGCCAATGACCTGGTCCCTGTTTGTGTCCATCAAGGCCTCATCCAAGCAGGAACTAGCAACCTGTTTATTCACCCGTGCATTTGCCTGCTTCCCCACTACACTGTGAGCTCCATGCTTGGCACACAGTAGGTGCTCAATGCATGCCGGTTGCAGGTGGAAGCATGCGCTGGGGCATAACACCATCCTTACTAGCTGTGCGGTCTCCTCTTCAGCACATGAGAACCATGGTGCCACCCCCTCCTCGAACAGGGCTGCTGTAAGGACTCACTGCCATGCGTAGCAGGCGCCCAGTCAGGGCTGTGCTGTGCTTCCTGCCTCAGCCAGCCAGTCTTCCGGCAGTGGGCTTGGGCGGCTGTGGATCCAAGGCCAGGGCTAGGACTCCAGGCAGAGCAGGCAAGCAGAACAGAGGCAGGGGTTTCCATGAGTGGCCGGCAGGCTGCAGCGCACGGTGAACCTGCCCACGTTTGCCCCTGGGCCATCCCCACAAGTCTGTGAGTGGTGGCAGGAGAGTCCTGCTGTCTCTGCAGGACAGGCAGGCAGGCTGATGTGGATCAGGTCAGTCTCTTGTGGAGGATCAGTGAGGGAAGCAGGGGAGGAGGCTTGCAGGCCCCCTCCCACACGCCAGCATTCAGCAGACACCTGTGGGCAGTGGTGTTCTCAAAGCCATGGTCGTGAGACAGAGTTTTGTTAAAGTGATCTCACCATCCCTCTGGGAGAAAGATCTAGGTGACAGTGGGGTGGGGAGGGCCGGGGCCTGGCGTGTGGAGATTCCCATGGAGCACAACAGCTCGGGGCCAGACCGGGGAGAGAGTGTCCCAGAGGCGAAGGGGTGAAGATGTCATACAGCCAGGCTGGCCCATAGACGCAGGTTCAATTGTCACCCTCCATGTGCTCATACTTCTGTGGCTGTTTAAATTCATTTCCATTTGGTGGGTCCCATTGAGGTGATAGAGATCATTGTGATGGTGACAACAAGGTTTTTCAATTATCTGTCACAGCAAAGAAAGATGATATTCTTGGTTTAATGTTAATGTTTCACGTGTGGTTTTATTCCTAGTTTCTCAAAAACAAAAACCTCTGTAAGAGCACTTCTTCCAGAACTGTGTCTGGAGATGCTGTGCAGCTTCTCATTTCCTCTCTCAAAGTGTGTGACAAGTGCCAGGGTAAACATAGCTGAATATTTGGGTTTTACCTGCAAGATTTCTCAGAAGACACTATGCTTGTACCCCCTGACGTCATTAGAGGGGACAGAGAGCGTGGCTCTCCCTTGCTGTGTCTAACACCAGCGACTCCAGAGCAGTCCACAGGGACCTGCTTACAACACATTGCAGGACCTAGAATCTGTCCATGCAGCCTGGGAAGGTGGCTCTGAGAACACATTTGTTTGCCTTCCTGGGGATCTGATGAATTGGAATGTCTGCGGCCTGCTCATGTGCAGAGAGGGTGTCGGGGGTCCAGGTCCTGCAACATGGCCAAGAAGTTGCTGTGAGAACACACTGGCCCACATGCATTCCTCTGTTTAGGGGACTCGTGTGGGTGAACCCCCTCACCCCCTCTGCATCTGGGCTGTGGGCTCAGGCTTCTTCCCCACCTGCATTCGGTCGAGGCTCTAAAGTGTTCTCTAGCCCTTGGGGAGTGAGTTGACTGGTGGTGACTCAGATCTGGAAGAAGCAAAGCCCATTAAGTTGTCTATCCATAGGCCAAATTGCTCTGCACGACTCACTGTCCCTGGTCTGTGGCATTGGGGCCTCCTGGGCCCACGGTCCTCTGACCACTCTCTTACATCCTCTGAGTTGCCTCCTTTTGTTCCTGATTATGTCCTGATGAGCAGGGAAGGGGGCAGCTCTAGCCACAGTGAAAGCCTCAGGGTGTCCAGGCCAGGGTTGGAGGGACCTTGAGGTCTGGTGTCTGGTGCAGGCGCAGGCAGTGGCGATGGGAAGGGGCTTTGGCTGGATCTCTGGGGCAGACACAGCCGTAGGCCACAGCAGGAAGCACAGCAGCCACCTTTGCAGGGATAGCCATTGGGAAGCTGGTCTCCTAGGCATGTGGCTCAGGGAGCATGGAGCGCTTTGGAGCCCAGGGTCAAGTGAGTCTGATCTGAGGCTGTGGCTCTTGGAGCCGAGGGAGCCACCATTTGGGGTTGTGCTGCTAGGTGAGCTCTGGCTTGTGTCACCATCCTCTGTGGCTTTGTATCCAGTTCATTTACCAAGTTCCTTTATGTTCTAGCTGCCATCAGGGATGATAGCCAGCTTATACACCAACTGTCGGATGACTCATCTTCATCTCTGGCACTTTAGATGTGTAAATCCGTGGGATCCTCAGGGAGGAGTCAGCCCCCGCCCCCTCACCGCCCCCCCCACCCCCCAGGTCTTAAACCAGGCTCATATGGGTCCAAAGTCTTGATCCACCCTGGATGCTGCAGGCTAGACGAGGCGGCAGGGCTGGGCGGCGGGAGTGGGGATGGGGTGGGATGGGATGGGAGGGCAGGAGTTCTGCATTAGCGGAAGGAAGCCGGAGGGGTGGAGGAATCTGAGGGATTGGTGGGGCGCTCGGATTGAGTGTTGCAGCGTAAATCCAGGGGCTGGCACCACAACCTCTGTGGGTGGTGATAACAGGGCATCTGGGGGTGGGGGAAGGGCCGCGCTTGGTGACCAGCACCACGCACACACACTGGGACAGCGGCTGCCCGACAGTCAGCTGTGCGCCAGCCCTGGGACCTCTCCAGCAGGAGCCCGGTCACCTCCCACCTCCAGGACCTGGACCAGCACTGACGCCTCTGCTCTGCCTTCCACACAGCTCACGCATGAACACAAGATGGCGCTCTTGTCCATCACGTACGTCGGCTGCTCCGTGTCCCTGGTCTGCCTGGTGCTCACGCTGGGCACCTTCGCCATGCTCTCGTGAGTCATCCTCCGCTCTCTCCTGTGTCTGTGTCCAGGGAGGTCTGGTGCCCTCGTGTAAACGTCAGTGCAACCCTGCCCCACTTTGATTTCCCGTCGGCATTTGTACTGGTGAGGCGGCGCGTGACTGCCCCTTTGAGAACCTGCACGTGGTGCATTGCAGCTGGACAACTGCGCCAAAGTTACTTTCCATTTTGAGGTTTGGGGTGCAGGGAGGGGTTATGGGGTGCTGGAGAAGAGAGAAGAAAGAGGCAGGAGGGGCTGTGGCATTGGAGGGCACCCTGCTTTAGTGAAGCTGGAAAGTCGTGGAAGGCTCATTGGCCCACAGGCTTTCTGGCCCTTGGGCTGGCGAGAGCCAGAACTGACGACCCCCTTCCCCAGGGCATCAAAGCAGCAGCTCTGAGAGGGATCCCTGATACCAGCTGGAGAGGCAGGAAAGCCCTTTCTGAGGAGGCCCCCTGCCCCTCCCAGCTGAAGCCACATGTGGTCAGAGCTCCAGGGAGTCTGCGCAGCCCCCAGGGGGAGGGTGGCAGCTGAGTCCTCTGTGGCCCTTTCCAAACTGGGACGAGAAACAACTGAGCGCTGTCTGCCTGTGCAAAACAGCTGTGAGCACATGCTGGCTGCTGCTGAGGCCATTGGCCTTACCTGGGATGGGGCCCCCTCCCTCTGAGGTTGCTTGGGCATTTCCTCTCCTCCCTCCTCAGTGGGGTGGTGATGCTCCAAGGGTTCCTCCTGAAGCTCAGAATCCCCTCCTCACCTGCTCTGGTTCCCTGAGGACACCTGGCACCTGTCCTGGCTATGACTACAGGGTCCCGGGGTCAGGGGCTATAGCATGACCAGTAAGGAGCCCTTGGTTCCCCTGAACTAAGGATAGGGGTGGCGGCATCTGAGCCAGACAGGAAGAGCCTGGACCAGCATTGAGCTGAGACTTGTTCTTTGGTTCCTCCGCCCCTCAGCTTTGCTCAAGAAGTCTGCCACAGCCAGGCTGGCAGCTCTGAGGACAGGATACAGAATGGGCGGGGGGCGGGGGGGGAGGCAGGAGCAAGCGTTCAGAAGCAGGAGCACACACTTCCAGGCCAGCAGTGCTGAGGGAGACAAGGTGGAGCTCCTTCCCGGTCAGGAATCCTCTCCCAGGGAGGCCGGAGACTGGAGAGGACTGGGGTGCTTGTGAGCCAAATGGGCCAGTGTGAGCAGGAGCAAGCTGAGTCTGAGCAGGGGCTGGAAGGGGGAGGCAGGTGGCAGGCTGTGCTGAGCCAGCGCCTGTGGAAGGCACTGGATCCTTTCTAAGAGCAATAGGGAGCCATCGAGGTGTTAGAGCAGGGAGTAACAGCATCTGGGTGGGCTCTCTGGAGGCCGGGGGTGGGGGAGTGGTAGGGAGCAGCAGTAGCCGAGCTGGCGCTGGGCCTGGGCCTCACCCCTGCCTCTCGGCCCTCAGCTCTGTCAGCACCATCCGGAACCAGCGTTACCACATCCACGCCAACCTTTCCTTCGCGGTCCTAGTGGCCCAAATCCTACTGCTGGTCAGCTTCAACTTCAAGCCTGGCACGGTGAGTAAGCCCCTCTCCTTCCGCTGTCTGATGTCACCAGGGCTGGCACCTTCTGCTAGTTTCTTCAACTCAGAATTCAGACCTCATCCCCCAGATAGTCGGGCAGTGGCTCATCCAGGAGAGGCACGAAACAAGCCTGCCTGAGTGGAGTTCTCTGCCCACCATCGCCTCAGTGGCAAAGATGCTGGTGCTCCTGCTGATATGTCAGCTCACCCTATGGCACTGGTGGCATGAGGGCATGATGCAGAGAGCTGACACAGACCAGCCCTCCCATCCTGGAGAGAGGCCCACCGAGGCAGTACAGCCCTAGCATCCTGCTTCTAGATGTGGGAGCTGGTGACAGAAGACTCTGGTAAAGGTCTGACCCCTTGCTCTTCATTGTGCACTGACCACAAACCCCCAGCCACCTCTGCTTCTGAGGGTGAGGCCTGGCACTGCTGGCAAGAGGAATGTGAAGACCCAGGCCTATCTTCCCCTTGTCCTTTGTGCTGGGGACCTAGGAAGTCTTAGACCCCCTGAAGATTAAGAGCTAAAAGTGAAATGACCCAGGCTTGGGGTGATGTGGGTGTTAATCCCAGCTGGTGGAAAGGAGAAGTGGACTCTTGCTTGCTCCCACCAGGAGAGAAGGAGAGGCCCTTCTGGGGAAGAGCAGTGTAGGTTAGTGGTCTTAAGATTCATGCAGGATTGGTTGACACAGGGTGAGCTCTTTATCCTACACTAGTGAGGGTCAGCAGAGCTTCCTGTTCTCTCTGCCTGTCCCAGGGCTGCTGCCAGGGAGAGCTCCACCCTACTGGGCTTCGGGGTCCTCCCTCGCAGGTTTAGGGGAGCGGAGGGGCCGCTGAAAAGCCCCGCAGGTGCCATAGGGGGACCAGGCATGAACCAGCCTCATTCTCTGGAGGCGTCAACGCTCAGGGTTTTCTTAGAACACAGGTTTGGGTTTGTAGCTCTGGGTGGGGCCTGGAATTCCGAATTTTGATCAGGCGTCTAGTGACGCCAAGGCTGCCTGTGCAAGCCCCCCACTCACCCCCGGGAGGGGCGAGGCCACGGAAGGGGGGGAAGCAGGTCTGCGGGCTCCGGGCTCCCGTCACCCCTGGCCCGCCTGTCTGAAGCCCCGGGGGAGGGCTCCGAGGTCCTGCTGGAGGGACAGGCCTGTGGGATGAGCCCGCGGGGGACTGGGGGTGACCCCCGAGTCGGTCCGGAGCGGTGGGTGGGTGAGCGACGCCCCCGGGAAGGGGCCATGGGGACGAGCGCTGCACCTGTGACACCTGCCTCCTCTGTGCGCACCTGGGGCGGACTGGGCACGTTCTGCCCTGTCTGGGAAGCCAGATGCCGGGGACACGATGCCTTCCCTAGAATGAGCTGATGTCGGGGAGTAGCACCGTGACTGCAGAGCTTGGGGTGCCCGACAGATATCACACCCTCCCCGACCCTGTCTTTAATTCTTCTTATTTTCCCCTCTTTACTGTAATTTTTGAAGGTGATGTTTAAACTTCTTATTTTTCCTCCCTCTACCCCACCCCGTTCCCGGCCCCACAAGGACATGGCCAGAGAGCCGCCAGACTGGGAGCAGGTCCAGCTTAGGGACCTGGGGCAGCTGCTGCCCCCACGTGTCCACAGAGCCCAGGCTCCGCCCATTCCCCCGGAGCCCACCCATTGGGCTGCTGTGCTCACGTGGTGCCCAGCCCCGGCCAACCCGGCTGCAGAGGGCAGGAGCCTTCATGCTGATTGGCCAGGCCTGATTGCCCACGCTCTCCTGAACCAATCAGTGTGTGGGAGTCACGTGCCCCGCCTGAGCCGCGGGGGGGGGGGGCCCTCCCCTCCCCTCCCCTCCCCTCCCCTCCCCTCCCCTCCCGTCCCCTGGGGTGGGGCAGGAGGACAGAGGCCAGACATGCCCCGCACAGCCCACGCTCACCCGGAGGGAGGGGTCCCCTCTGTGTCTTTGATCCCAGGTGCCCTGCCGGGTGATGGCCATGCTCCTGCACTACTTCTTCCTGAGTGCCTTTGCGTGGATGCTGGTGGAAGGGCTGCATCTCTACAGCATGGTCATCAAGGTCTTTGGTTCGGAGAACAGCAAGCACCGCTACTACTATGGGATAGGATGGGGTAGGTGGGGGTGGGAGGGGGTAAGATGGGATGGGAGGGGGCAGGTGGTGGTAGGAGGGATGGGATGGGATGGGAGGGGGCAGGTGGCAGTAGGAGGGATGGGATGGGATGGGGCAGGTGGCTGATGGGAGGGGGCAGGTAAGGGATAGGAGGGGGCACGTGAGGGTAGGGGGTATGGGATGGAGCAGGTGGGGGTGGGTGAGCGGAGTTGGGGATGGGAAGGGGCAGGTTGTAGTAGGTTGGATATGATTTCACCTTCATATGACACACCTCCAGGAAATCCGATTCCCTTAGGCTTGAACTTCTCCATGCTCTGTTCCAAAAAAGGATCAGTTCCTGTGGAGAGTGCTTTGGGGTTCTCTGAGCTAATGATCTGTTTCCTCCATACCTGGGGAGAGTCCCTGAAGCACTGCTGTGGAGCTGGGGCAAGGACCGTGGTCCTTTCTCTTGGACAGTACCCCAGCGTTAGAGTGCGACACTGGGGTGGGGGGGGCAGCCTCTGATACCAGCTTGCCTCTTGCAGCTCCCTACTTGACTCAGTGAACTCCCTTTTGCCTACCCCGACCCAAGGAGTTCGTTTCCTGCCAGAGTCTATATAGAATGGGCTGTGGAACCGACACCTGCCATGCTTGCATTTGCTAGAAAATGTTCATCCAGCATCAGGGACCTGCGGCTTATTCCTGCTTTTCTTCAAATGGGTTTAATTTTCACAGCCATCAGGCAGGAGCAGATAAACATGTTTATTTTGTGCTTTGAGCTGCTTGATGTAGTGTATTGGCAGTACGGTGGAGGTATGTTCTGTACCCTCATGGCTTCCGCGGCCATCTCCCCACTGCTGGGGCCGTGGGGGCAGGGAGCTGCCCATGGTGGCCAGGATGTCCCACACCCAGTCTGTGCACCCCTGGAGCCTGTGCCCGCTCTGGGCTCTATTTGGTCCGCAGTATTGGAGAAAAAAAAACAAATTATTTTTACCAATATTTAAAATATTTGAGATTTTATATGCATTTTAGAGATCTTTTGAAAAGTGAGGCAATCTGGGAACCCCAAGTTTACCATCCTATTTGACAGCACTGTCTGGGACTGTATAGTTTCTCATACCAATGTAGTCACTGTGGGTGTGTGAGGAAGCAGCCCCTGATGCTGCTATAGGGTAGAGGGAGCCTGGCCAGGGTCCTAGCAGCTGGTCTGCACATCTGCTTCCCCATGCTGATGTCCTCAGGGCTTGTGAACTGCATCTCTCCTTCTGACTAGGGTGGAGTTAGTGCTGGGCCTAACAATCTGCAGGCAGTCAGGTCCTCTCAGCCTGCAGGTTCTAATGCAGAAGGAGCTGGAGGCAGACCCAGGGCACAGGGAGACCATGCTACAGGGAGTGCCTGGCACAGAGGCCTCTCCCTGCAGGGCCTGCCCTGGGCTTGAAACCCTCAGGGCTGTTTTGACGCTGAGTTGGGGGTTAGAGGCGTCAAATCAAGAATATACCTTGAGGTTTTGTTAGATGTCAGGCTGTAGGTTGGACTGGTAGGGTGAACGAACTATAATCTCTGTCCTCCAAGTATCCCCATGGGAGAGGAGGGGAGATTGTGAGGGATGGTTGAGCCCGCACATCCGTGCAGCAGTTGTGCATCTCTCACCAGCTCAGAAGTGAGGGAAATGTAACTGCTTTTCCTGTTACTGCTTTCTTTGGTGAGCACACACTCATCTGGGGCACATACACAATTTCTAAATTATGCTTCATGCAGCCCACCTTTCCCTGGGTGGCCCTGGAGCTCTGGGGAGTTGGGCGGTGCTGAGCCCAAGTGCACGGGTCAGGGCCGCCAGGCAGTGCTCCTGTAATAAGCAGCACCCAGCTCTCCTTGCTGCAAAGCCACAGGCCTTTACTTCCCATTTCCACTCTGTGTCCCCAGTGGCCACGGCAGTCCCATGGTGGTGGAGGGGTCACTGCATGGAGGTTGCAGGTTGCTGGGAAAGAGGAGAGTTCATGGAAGGACCCCACACTGGAAATGAAATAGCCTGTAGAGACACACGGCACTTCCTTCCATAACTATGGCCCAGAATGAGCCTGCAGGCCCCAACAGCCTCAGGGTGACATGTGTGAGCTTCCCACATGCCCAGAGAGGTACCTGGAAGCATGTTGCAGATAGCACCAAGGCCTCTGCCCTGGTAGAAGGGCAAGCCCCTTGTCTCCTGACTGCCTCTCTGCCCTTCTCTGGAGGCCTCCGCCCCGTGTCAGGTTTCATGTTCTGCATCCTGGGCTTTCTGCTCTGTGCTGGCTGGGAGCTCCCACGGCCCTCCCCAGCATCAGGAGGCCCATGCCAGGGAAGCACCACCACATTCCAAAGGGAGCGCGTCTTCAACTCTAAGAAGCTTACATCTAATGGGACAGGGCCAGACCGACCCGGAACCATCTGCAGAAGCATGTCATGTGCCTGCACAGCTGCTGGGACTCGAGGCTGCTGGGACTCGAGTTTCCAGTGACAGTGACAGTGGAGGAGGGACTGAGTTGGTTAACAACAGTGCAGATAATTAGAGGGCCTGACCTGACATGTTGGAGCCTTGTTATTCACACGTGTGGTCGTAGCATGGGGGTCCTCACAACGGCATGGGGAGCATGATGCTCTTATGTCCATTTCCATGAGATTATGGACCTTCGTGGTAATGCATTTGAACTATTTAGAAAGATCCGGGAGGTGGCTGCTATGAGGCACCCAGGCAGAGCCAGGATTCCCATCCTTCCTCTGGGGCCTGTGGGCTCAGCACAGGCTGGGGGTACTCATGCATGGTTAGCACCCCCCGCTTCTGTCCTGGGAACAAGCATGATGCAGCCTGCTTATCAGGAGCCCTTCCTCTCGGCACCCTGGAGGAGCCAGCCCGCAGGTAGATGGATCCTTCGCTGCCCTTCCCCTACCTCCTTCATGGCCGGGGAGCTGGGGGGATGTGCTCTACTCCCTGTGGTCAGAGGCCCGAGGATGTGCTGCTTTCTCTGCAGCTGCTGTGGGTCATTTGTGGAACCAGGCTTGGATTTGTAGGGGATGTGATTCGGAGTTCTGTGCTCCTGTGTGCATGTGAGTGAGTGTGCGTGTGTGACCGTGAGTTAGCCTTGGTCTAGACCAAAGCTCGTGGAGGCTGGCTGCTCGGCACCTCCACACTTCCTGCTGGCTCTGCACATGCAGCAGCCATGAAGGACCAAGTGACCTGGGGAGTGAGGGGTTCCAGGCAAGCTGCCCTGATCTCCTGCTCTCTCTGCACAGGTTTTCCTTTCCTGGTCTGTGTCATTTCAGTATCATCCGCCATGAGCAGCTATGGAACCAGTATGAAGTAAGTGCAGGGATGTGGCCTTATGTGGCGGGAGCACCCCCATGTACTTCTGGGGGCGGGTCGGGGTGTGCAGGGCTGCTGCCACCCCAGGCCTTGGCAGTAAGGAGGCCAAAGAGAGTGAGCAGCAGCCTGGCTATGCCTTGGACCTTCTCCCTGCCTGCAGAGGTTGCCAGAGGATGGGACCATTGGATCCTCCTCCAGGTAGAGGTCTGCAGGACAGTGAGGGAAGCACACTACTCTGGGTCTGTCACCCGTCTTCGGAAGCCTGGGTGGCTGCCCAGCTTGCAGAGGGCCACTCAGACACCTGTGTATTCCCTGGAGAAACCACTTTCTCAGAGCAGGCGCCAACAGATGCCGGCCCTTGCCTCGGGCGTTTTGTGTGTCATGGTCCTGGAGGTGCTGGAGAGAATGGGGGCAGGGAGGTACCTGGAACGTGCACGCCAAGAATGAGAGGCATGAGATCATCATGGATAGGATGCAGAGACCTATTGGGGTTGACAGTGTTACTCTGGCTGCTCAGACTGACCCCATGGTGGAAAGAGATACTGTCCCAGCAACCGTTCTGGGTGACTAGGGACCCCAGGCAGAGGAACAGTGGGTGAACTTAATGCTCTGCTTCTGCCCACAGCTGTTGGCTGTCCATCAGCACCGGGGCTGTCTGGGCCTTTGTGGCCCCTGCCTTGGCCATCATTGTGGTAAGTCCCTGCTGGTGAGTGTGGAGGGGCTGGGCGTGTGGGCCCTATGACCACATCTACAGCCTGTTGCAGTGCCCCCCTCCCCCAGACCCCAGAGGGCATGTGAGAAGGGCAGGCGCATGCAGACAGTCTGTGGGGGGGGCAGTGTGTGTCCCCAGGGTCCTTCCCTCCTGGTACTCCCCACAGCCTGCAGTAGAGATGGTTATGCACGTCTGGGGGCCACCCTGCAGACTTCCCAAGACCCAGGGGACAGAGAGCATGACTTTAGGGCCCCATGAGCTAGCTCATAGGCAGGCCTGCCGCTGGCTGCTCTGCCCTGCCCAGTGTTTAAGGGGGGCTGCCACACAGGGTGGGGCTCCCGCTTCCAGCTAGAGGCTCCGTCTTCGGTTGGGGGTGTGGTGCTCCCACCTTGGTGGGGGACGGGGTTCTAGCTGTTGTTCCTTTTACATTTCCCATGAAAGCTCTGGGGTTAAATTTCATCATGTCTTTCTTTGTGTGTGTGTGTGTGTGTGTGTGTGTGTGTGTGTATTTTTATTGGAGTTCGATTTGCCAACATATAGCATAACACCCAGTGCTCATCCCGTCAAGTGCCCCCCTCAGTGCCCGTCATCATTTCTGATCAGCCTAGCTTGGAACATGGCCCAACATCGGCTCCTGGCTGCTGCCAGAGGAGCAGAGTGCTCTGATTGGCCAGGCCTGGGTCACAGCACTAGCCCTGGGGCTGGAGTAGGGGGTTCATTTCCCCAGGAAGCACTAGGACTCCAGGTCTGGGACGAAGTTCTGAGAAACTCCGGGTGCAGTTCCCGGAGGAGGGGCAGTGCCATGGGGCCCCTCTGCCCGCACCTGTGCCCCTATTTGGTCTGGGCGGGGGGCCCCACTTTTTCCTGACTCGGGGACATGGGGGGCAGCGCCCAGGGGAGCTTCAGTGGTGCTGGGTCCTCTTGGCCAAGTCGGAGGAGAGTCCCACAGTGTCCTTGTGCTTTCCTGGGAAGTCAGCTCAGTACGACTGTCTCCCCGAAGTCATGCTTTTCCATGAAGTGTCCCTGTCTGCCCTGGGAGTGGGTGCCACAGATGGTGCTCCCTGTTCTGCGGGGGAGCCTAGGGCAGGGAGTGCAGAACCACCAAATCCTGGGCCCGGGGGTAGGGGCAGCAACATTAGTCAGGGTGTCCTCCTCCCCTTTCCCTCCCCCACCCCAGGGACACAAACCAAATTAAAGCCCTTGTAAGTAGAAAAGGCTTCGTTCTGGGAAGTGCAGGGGGGTCAGGGACTCAGTGAAGTCAGCAGATATGTCTGGCTGGCTCCATGCCTCTTGTCTGGCTGCACCTGAGGCCGACTCTCCCTGTGGGGGTACAATGGAGTCCACACTCTACGTGTCCTTCAGGTGTGCAGTGTAGGGCAGGGACAAGGACGATTCCCAGTAGTCACAGCCAAAGTCCCAGGGCAGTTCTGATCTGCTACTGTTCCAGAGCCTGTTACTGGGGATGGAGGTAGATGATTGGCCAGGCCAAGATCACCTGACTGCCCAGGGGCCAGAGCCACGGGGTCCCCAGGAAGCCGTGGGGAGCTGTGGGATGCTCTTGCACCCTGGTGAATACCTGGGTGTGTATCTAGCATGAACCTGATCAGGGACCAGGTGTTTCTGCCATCGCATCTGGGCATCTCTCCCCAGAGGTTCAGGGCACTGATATCAGGAAGGGGTGGCCTGCAAAAGGGCCTCCCTACATCCTTCCTGCCCACCCAGTGCAAATCCATGGTGTATAATCTCCATAACCCCAGGTGGGACCTCAGAATACACACTCCACACACTGGGCCAGGACCCCAGATGCACTCTCTGTGTGCACCTCTGCCTCCAGACCCCAGGACAGGCTCTCCATGCGCACCCATCTCTGGACCCCAGGACAGGCCCTCCATGTGCACCCCTATCTTCAGACCCCGAGACAGGCTCTCCATGTGAACCCCTTCTGCTGGGACCCCAGGGCGTGTCCTCCATGCACCCTGGGGCAGTCACCCAGGCCATGGCACTGCCTCTGAGCTGCTGCCTTTGAAGGGTGTGGAGTCCCACCTTGGCTGGGGGCCACTGATGCTGATGGGTAAGGGAAGGGACATTCCCCAGATCCTGTCCCTTCAGTGTCCTCATTCATCACCCCCTGTCACCACCTGAAGACAGGTCACCACTGAGGACGGGCAGCAGGGACTTGGACTACTTCTCCCTGCACAGGTCGGGGTTTCATAAACTCCATACTCTTCCTTCTCTCACCCCTGTTCCTTTTGCCGGCTGTCATCTGAAAGCCCACCTGGCTTCATTCCAAGTTTGTTGGCACCACCAAAGCCTTTGGCCCTGGTGATTAATTAGAAGTGGATGTGAAGGAAGGTGCTTGAGGACTTGTTTATTCCTTCCTAATTAAAATTTTGTGCAGACAGTGCTGCATGTTGGTGGGGCAGTGCCTTCTTGGTAAAGGCTTTCCAGAGGGACAGTGTGGGAGGAGAGGGACAGCAGGTGGTGCCAGGCCCCACATACCAGCCCTGTTGTTCCATGGCATTGACTTGGCCCCTGTGCCCACCTCCTACCAGGTGACACATGCTTTGGGTGTCCACAGGGATAAACGGGTGATGGAGGTGACTTCCTTCCCACATGCAGTCCTGAGATCCTCCCAGGTCCTCTGTGGCCGCAGTGCCTGAGCGTCTGTGCTACAGGAGAGGCGTTGGAGGGCCAGGCTGTGGTTTGAGCTCTGAGCCTTGTGGGCCAGCAGTGGCCCTGGTGGAAGGGCTGGGTAACAGGGAGTTGGGGGCTGTGTGGACATTAGCCCATCGCCGTCCCAGTGTGATCTCCTTGCTGCCCTGGCTGTGCCCCAGGGGCTGGTCTGACAGACCTGGACCAGCCTCCTGCTCTCTGGCTTTGGGGAAGTTTGGCCTGTGAAGGTGTCAGCAGGAGATGAGAGGATGGGAGGGGAGTGAGGCCAGGTATTTCTCCTCAGGCTCCTCTGTGCAGGACCCTAGGTGGCAAAGGCTACTCCATCCTCTATGGCCACTCCCTGGTCACAGCCCCAGCCACCATGCTCCCCAGGTATCTCGGCAGGTGGAGGGGCACAGCAGTCTCTGCTGGTGTGGGTACTGACTCACACGTGCGTGTCCTGTCCCCATCCCCTCAGTCCCTCTGTGTCCTGGATGGGCAGCAGGTATTGCTGGGAGCATCTGTCCCAGGCAGCAGGCTGCAGTCCTCCCAGGGGTGGAGGGCCCTCCCAGGGGTGACTCACCACCCCACCCACCAGCCCAAAGGCCTCTCTGCACAGGAGAGGCTGTAGGGGCAGTGATACCAGAGGCCATTTGGTTGCCATCTCCCCAGAACCCTCTGTGGACGTGTCTAGGAGGGCCTTTCCCCCAGGGAACAAGAAGGTTCTCAGGGGGCATGCCCTGAATAGATAGGTGGGGGGGGGGTTTAGCCGGTGGGAAGATGCTGCTGAGACCCAACATGTAGGGGTGAAGACCCTACCTCAGGCTGGGGTCCTGGAAAGAAGAGAGGGGTAGGTTTGGGAGAAAAAGGTGGTGAGATGACCATCCTGGTGCTGGATGTGGGGTTGAAGGAGAGAAGGAAAGTTCAGTTTATCTCCCAGCTTGCAGATGGAGGGGTGGCTCTGCCCACAGAAACTACCCACAGCTTCATCGTGTTTAAATTTAAATTCAGGGCTAGCATCACATGCCTGGAGATCTTGTGTAAAGATCTAGGTGTTTCTGACTATGTCCGTGGTGAGACCAGAATAACCAGTAACACCACCACTTGCCCTGTTCTGGGGCAGGTGGTGAGACCTGTGGGCAGGCAGCATGGGTGCGACCAGCTCAGGGCCCCGTCACAGTGAGGTGAGGGGGCATGAGGTTCCCAAGGCCAGGCCACTGCCCTTTGGGGACGGACCTGGCACATAAGAGCTTCCTCGGGGGAGAGGAGCATTGTATGGGCTCCCCTTCAGAAAGGGCCTAGAGGTCAGGGAGGGGACAGGATGTGGCCCAGAAGGCCCCTCCACGGCCAGAAAAAGGGGCCCCGAGTCTGCCCAGTGTTCAGTGAATGGCTTTCAGCCACAGGAGGGAATGCAGTGACTGGGTCTGAACCGGCAAGTCCAGGGCCGTCTCCTGTCCCCGGGGCTGTGGGAGGCACGGCCACAGTCACTTTCTCACCGACCATTTAGGGGATCACAAGGGCTTGGGTCAGAGATCCCGGGCTCCCACCGCTCCCTGGGGTCTGGGTGGACAGTTCACCTGCTGCGCCCAAAGGTAGAAGCAGGCTCAGAACAGACCCCAGGCCCTTGGACGACCGAAGTCCTCTGGGCAGACCATGGACTTTGGGAGGGGGTGTGAAGGGACGTCACAGATGAGAGGGAAGACGGGAAGGGACAGAATGTGTGAGTCCACGTGCCTCGTGCTCTCTGTGTGACCTTCGGCCTCCTGATCCCGAGGCCCCGGGCGAGCACAGCCCCTGTCCTAGATGTTTTCGGGTGACCAGAGTGTTAACCTGACTTTGGGGACGCGCAGGCTGCCCTGCTTTGATCCTTGTCCAGCACCCACCAGGGTGTGGGGTCCTGCACAGGGTCCCGGCACCATGTGTCACCAGGCTCTCAGGAGCCCGTCCCCGTCCCTCAGAGGCTGTGAGCCCCTGGCCCGCCCAGCCCCACCTCTGGCTGTAACATCAACCCTGAAGGATAGCAGTCCTCAGACTTGTCACGTAATGGAATTCCTGGTTCCCACCTGAGCCCCATCTCTGGAGGTTTTTGGTTTGATAGGACCTGGGCCTTTGTAAGCTCCCAGTGCTCCCCTGGGACATAGGGGAGCCCTGGAGCCCTGGAGCCCAGGAGAGGGAGGCATGGCTGAAAGGGATTCAGTGGTTTCCGAGCCAAGTGCAGGGGTGCACTAACTATGGCCCAGTGTGGCCCACTGCCCACGTTCCTAAACAGTGTCTGGGCTCCCAGCCACAACCAGGTCCTTGCACATGTCTGTGGTGGTTTTCATGCTACAGCAGCCGACTTGACTTGTAACTGGGACCACGTGGCACAAAGCTGAACGTACTTTCAGAGGAAAGCACGCGGCCCGAGGCAGGGGCTGCAGCTGGGGTCCTGTGGACTCTGGCCGTACGCCAGCCTGGCCCGCGGGGCTCACCTCTGACCCCCACAAGGGACTCTTGGTTGTGTCTGGGGTTGTCCACGTTTTCCCAGACGCACCCTCATTTCCAAGTGAAGACCTGGGGTTTCAGAATCCCAGGTGTGGCTGGACCATGCCCGTGAAAGGTGCCTGTTTGTGTTGGGATTGGTGTTCCTGTGTGTTCTGGTGAGGCTGGTCCTGTGAGGCCTCGTGCTGGTGAGGAAGTGCAGAAGTGAGCAGCAGCCCGCCTGTCAGCATGTGAACTCTTCCCACCCCCCCACCCCCGTCGGGAAGGGAAGTGGCTGCCATTCCCTGGATGGCCGCCCCTGATGCCCGAGTGTGGATTGCCCGCGAGACCAGCAGGTACAGCTGTCGAGTCTGGACCCCTCCACTAGGGACCCTATGGTGACCCCAGGACTCTGCCTAAGTCCCCCAGGGGCTTGTTCTGTGCAGGCCCGACAGGGCAAGGGCCTCGGGTTCCCGGAAGAGAGAAACTCTGGAGTTTTGTAGCCTTCACCTTCTCCTCTCTGTAGAAGCATGTATGCAGCAGGGTTATGGTGCTGGCCACAGATGCCCAGATCCAGGGGTTCACAGGAACGGAGGCGCAGCTGTGCAGGCACCCCGCCGTGTTTCCTGCATTTTTACACGTAATGCTTTCCCCGTGAGTCGTGGCATGCCTCCCAGTGGCTTCTCCCAAGGTCAAGCAGCAGGACGTGCTGCAAACCCCAGAGCCCTGCCCAGCCCTTCCCCCTCCTATGGCCACATATCAAGAGCTTATCCTCTCCCCAACGTCTTTTCTGCTGGAATGTGGCCCTTGAATTATTCCTCTGGCATCTGTCAGCAGTAGCTTGCTGGCCGATGTCAGGCAGGGGTGCCCGGCTGATGAAACAGCCAGTGTTCGTGGAGCACGGGCCTCCCTCCTGGGCTTCTCCCACGGGCGCCAGGCTCCGGCCAGGATGGGTGGCCGGGGTGAGGGGACCGGCCCACTTCAGTTTTGGTTGTTCCTGAAACACTAGGGTTTTTTGGCTGGCAGCACAGCCTCTGCCTGAATGAGCTGTGGGGTCGGGGGGTCTGCCCGTGCGCCTCTTCTCCTGCTATCCAGGCAGGTGAGACTGTCCTCCCAAGGGGGGGAGCATACTCACCAGAGAGAAACACATGAGCCTGGTGGGGAGAGAGAGACAGAGGGATAAACCCCAGAGAAATCTTTGCAGAAACAGCATGTGATGCTGAAAGGTGGCCGTCAGAAATGCCAGCAGCTTCACCACATTTGCCATGCTCCCTGGCAGAGGCCAGGAGGTGACAGAGGGCTGGCAGCCCCAATTGCACCCCCACTTCTCCGCCGGGGGCAGCCCCATGGCCTCGTCTAGCAGCGGGGCCCGAGGTGAGGCCCTGGATCGTGTGGGTACTGGCTGACGGGGGAATAATGTGATTCTGGAATCCTAACACACATGCTTAGGGATTTGAAAGAAAAGCTTAAAGTACATGAACCTCTGCCCACCACCTCTCTTTCTCAGCCCCCCTGTCTGTACCGCCTCCAAAAGACACCCTTGCTGGTAATAGCTCCCATATCCTCAGGGCTTTAGGTCAGTAGAAGCGAATAGAAATGCAGACACACCCGTCCAGGGCCTTTACCACAGGATGGCTACCGGACTCTGGCTTTATCAGCGTGGGGAGAGTGGCCAGGGACACGGGCCCCTGCAAAGTGGGCAGGCCACGGTCACTCCCAAACCCACTGCCGGCTGTGGACAGTCACCTGATCTCCAGCCTTCTGTTGTTCCAAACAAAGCCTCAGCTTTGCCCAGAGCGTGAGGAACCTAGGATGTAAATCCCGGAGCGGAAGAGGCCAGGCCTGCCGGTGACAGGACCAAGATGAACCTCACCTTGAGATGCTCAGAAAGTCCTACAAGAATCATACGTGTAAAAACACAGACAGTTCAGAACTCTAGGCTTTACCAAAGGCATAAAGTAAAGAAGCATTTATTCGAGAAAACAGCCAAGTCCCACGGTGTAACACAGGCTCCCGGCGGCCCCGCCGTCCGATCGCTGGGAGCGGCAGGTGTGCTGCCGAGGTGAGTGCCCGCGGCTCTGGAGCTCAGCTGTGCGTAGCCTCCTGTGAGCGGCAGCAGGTGGACGCCGTTTCCACCCCTGAAGCAGCCCCGCACCTCTGGGCCCTGGCCCTGCCCCCTCTTTCTCAGCGTAGCTGAGTGTGGTTTTCTTGTGGTTGGCGGGGGAGTGGAGCGGTGGAAGGCGCTGTTGCTGGTGAACATTCACACCATTGACTTCTTTCACCCTCCATGGCGCTGGGGGACTCCTGTGAGGATCCTCCTGTGCGGGGGGAGAGGAGGGCCAGTGATGTGCATCTGATGCCAGGAGCCGAGCTGCCAGGGGTTGGAGTATCAGTGAAGACACGGAGCCAGGCTGCGTGTGCCGCAGCACAAGTTCTTTCCTGGTGGATTGCAGTAGTACAGGCTGGAGCTGAGCGGGGTGGGTGCCACCCCCCAACCCTGGGTCCTCTGTCCATGACCTGCACAGAGTGGCGGGGGACGGGTGTCCATGACTGGGGAGGAGGGTGGCTGAGAAGAGTGCTGTGGAAGAGCTCTGAGTTCTGCTGGGGGGTGTCTCTGCAAGCTGTAGCGTGAGGTGGTGTCAGCAGTGGAGCCTCAGGCAGACCTCAGGCTTGGGCCCCCACAAGGAGGCCTCAGATGCAGGTGCCTGGGCTGGGCCTGCAGACCTGCTCATGGGCATGGCTGCCAGGGTGGGAGCCCCAAATCCCTGCCTGCAGACCCATACAGCCGGCCTTGTCCTTGCCTGTGCTCAGGCCGGAAAGTGCACGTAGGGTTTTGGCCTGGAGCCGGACTCCCCAATGACTTTGTCATTGACCTCCTGACTCGTCCAGAGGGAAGAGAGGGTCCTGGTCACAGCTGCAGCAGCAGCAAATCCAGGCTCTCACCTCCTTCCCCTTGCTGCCTCCTGCCTTGCCAGGCTCAGGTCAGGGCCCCAGAGAGCTGCCCGCGGGACCGACAGGCTGTGCCGGAGCCTCTGCAGAGATCCCCCTCAACCCCGACACCCAGCCCCACTGACCCCCCCCCCCCCCCCCGCCGCGGCAGATTCCCAGCCAGCCAGAAGGCACCACTGGGCAGACGAGTCCCCGGTGCTGTGGCCTCTGTGGGTGAGACAGCCCCAGGCCAGGGTGGGCCGCGGAGTGACAGCCAGGTAGTATGCAGGGGTTTTTATGGATATAATTTCTTATCCTTTCAAATGATCTGTTCACACTGTGGGTGTTACTGCCGTTTCCCATCAGATGGGGAAGCAAATACACAAATGTGTGGTGGCCCACCCAGCGAGCAGAGCTGAAATGAGGTCTGAACCCAGGCCTTTCCTCGCTGTGCTCCTGGGGAGGGGGAGAAGGGCAGGTGCGCTCCCAGACAGTGCAGCTGCTGCATATGGCCAGGGCAGGTAAATGCTCAGGGACCCAGGTGGGTCGGGTTTCTGCAGAAACACCACCTGCTGGCTCAGAGCTCTGGGCGGGTGGGGGTGGGCGGATGGATGGACAGCTGCCTGGTGGGATCAGGGTCTCTGCAGGTACAGCCCCGGCCCTCACTCTGAATCCTGTCTCTTCCCTCATGCAGGTCAATGTCGGCATCCTTATTGCCGTGACCAGGGTCATTTCGCAGATCAGTGCTGACAACTACAAGATACATGGGGACCCCAGTGCCTTCAAGTAAGTTGGACTCTGGGCCTTCACTGGTGGTCCTGCCTGCAGAGCTGCTCAGTGTAGCAGGGGGTGGCTGCTGGGAACCCAGGCTCGTGTTCTTGCTTGGCTGTTGTCCACCTCCTCTGACCAGGACCGGCCCTTTACCAGCCTGGCTGACCCATGTGTAAAGCAGGGCTCTGCTCCATCCCTGGGGTGAGAGGCTACTTGTAGAGGCGAAGGAGGAAGATTCTAGATTCCACCCTTCCTTAGCCCCTGCCACTAGCCCCTCAGTGTCTTGTTCTCCTGTCGTAAAGGGCTGTCATGCACAGGAATCTCCTCAGGGAAGAACTCCCTGAGGTGCCCCAGGGCTGGTCCTCCTGGCGAGGGCTTCCACCCCCACCCTCCTGCCCCCGAGGGTCCCTGACCTCGTATCATGAGGGCTCCACTGACTGCAGGTGACAGAAGAGCCAACACAAACTAGCTGAAGAAAAGGGGGGACTGATGCACACAGGTAGTCCCAGAGTCCAGGAGGGAGTCCAGAATTGCTTAGGCCAGGGGGCCCGGCTCCTCCTGCGTCCTGCATCCCTGTGTGCCCTGTCGGCTTCATGCTCACATGGACCTGCCTCCTGGTGACACGGGAACACCCTCCCTCCCACCTGTTTAGACAGAGGTCCGAGCCTGGAGGCTGGGGGCTCGCATCGGGTCCCGGGCCTACCCCTGCACCAGTCACGCAGAAGGCAAGTGACCAGTTCACCAGCGCCTGAGTCCCACGGTCCATCCCGGCTCTGGGGTGCACTCAGCACCCCCAAACCACAGGGCCAAGAAGGGGGGAGGTGGGTCCTCACAGGGGGCCCGGAGGCTGTTGTGAACATTCAGGACAGGGACGCTCGTGGGCACGATGGCGGAGATGAGACCTTCCAGAATGGGGCGGGGGTGGGGGGACGTATGTGGGATGTGGGAAGCCCAGGCTGCAGCTGAGGGACGGGAATGCACGGGGGACCTTTGCCCAGGAGCTGGGTGGGGGCAGAGAAGGGGCCTGAGTTGTGAGGACAGACTGGGGCACTGGGGGCACTGGCCCCACTGGGCTGAGATTTGGTCATGGATGGTCATTTCCATGTTACAGAATTTAAAATACTTAAAATGGTAGCAACTTTTCGAGTTCCCAAGCCCTAACATAATTAAAGCCGCTTTAGTCACACTGTGTCTCTTCCGATCTGAGAGCAAGAGCAGTAAATCTGTCAGCAGCAAAAGGATAAGACAGTTACCCTGTAATCCATTCCAAACACTGTGCATGCCCAGGGCTCTGTCCATCACTCATTCACTTGCCCATTTATTTCTTCATTCAGGGGTCGCTTTCTGAGAGCGTGTTGGGCCCTGGTGCGTCGCTGCGCTCCGGGGTTACAGAGATGAAGCCCCAGTCCAGCCGTTGGGGACCTCTTGGTCTAGTGAGGGAGGCAGATGTGCAGCTGTTCACAGCTGTCTGCAGGCTCTCCTGTGAAGCCCAGGCACAGGATCCCCAGTGTACAAAGCCGAGCTGTGTCAGAAGTCAGGGTAGACTGTGCCACATGTCAGAAATGGCAATGACCTCATGGTCATTGCCTCATTCATTCAGCTAAGGTTCACTGGGAGCTGACTGGGTGTTGACTCTGCCCTGGGCTTGCAGAGAGACCACAGTAGGGACCATGTTCATGGAACCCACATTCTGAGAAGGGATCTTTGAGGCTGATTCTGGGCCTGCCTCCTACCCTTATGTGTCCACTGCACTGAAGCCTTGCTCTGCTGTCCTTCATGGGTGTCTGCGATCAGCATTTCGATCCACTAGTGCCGCTGGCTGGATCAGGGTGATGAGCTAAGGGTGCCCAGTGCGGGTGACGGCTGCTGGGTGCCCAGTGCCAGCTGCCAGAGGGCAGAAGCACGGCTGCTGCCTTGGCCCAGAGCTGGCTTGGCAGGGGCCGCGTTTCAGGTCCTGAGTGCTCAACTCCTTTCTCAAGGTTACCTGCAAGTGGAGCCCAGGTCTGGCCCCCTGCAGGACTGTGTCTGCTCTCATCCAGGGGCCTTGCAGAGGCCGATCCACCCGCACTTGCCTGGCCCCCAGAATGGCCATCTCCACTTCTCTTTCAGGTTGACAGCAAAAGCTGTGGCCGTGCTGCTGCCCATCCTGGGAACCTCGTGGGTCTTTGGTGTGCTTGCCGTCAACAGCCAGGCCTTGGCCTTCCAGTACGTGTTTGCTATACTCAACTCTTTACAGGTGAGAGTTTGTGGGACTGTCAGCTTTATGAACGGATGTGTATGGAGCAGGTTGCCACTGGGGCAGGAGGGAGATCCTCTCTTCTCTGTTCTTGCCACATATCTGTGAGCCCACAGCATGGGCATGCCTGGGGCCGATGGATCCCCGCACAGGGCCTGTAGCACCGTCCCCATGTCCACAGCAGGGCTGCCTCATCGTGCTGGCCAGTACCCCTGGGAGGCACGCCTAGGCCTAGATTAAAGGGAAGACAGTCAACACGCATGCAGTTCCAGAAAGGGAGCCCAGCGTAGGGAGATGGTGATAGTGTGCACCTCGGGTCTGGATTCATGTGTGTCTCCTGCATGGAGGGGTGGGGAAGTCAGCAGCCCGGAAACCAGAGACTTGGGGTGCTCAGAGCCTGTGTCCCTAGACCCACAACCCCCAGAAGAAAGGTGGAAGTGAGCACCTACCACCACCCCCAGTCCACACAGCTGAGTCTAAGGCTGAATCCTGGAGAGCGCAAGCACGGCCCACCCAGCCCTCAGCGTGCGTGGTCCTTGCTGCATCTGCATCTTTCTGACTAGGGACTGCGTCTTACGGAAGTGTGTTGGGCTTGTAATTTGTTAACAAGCTCCATGCATTGTCTCCCTCTGGCTGTTTATAAAAAAATCTGATCAGTTGTCCTGGCTGCAGCCCTGCACACCCTGGGTCCTGGGGCACCTCAGTTATCCTCCTGTGTCCTAGTTTCTCCTCCATAAAATGCGAACAATAACAGGACCACTTCAGGGGCTGCTTCAGCCCTAAATGAGACAGCCCATGTGAGGTGTTGCCTGGTGCTGGACACGCTGCAGCTGTCTCCAATTTTGGGGAGACATTCTCATACCCATGTCATTGTTGTCATCGTGCTGTCTGAGACGAAGACATCGGGGCTCAGTTTAGTTGATTGTCTAATGTCCTCACCTTTGTTCATTCCCAGCATTTTATCATTATCTGGTCTGTCCCGCCTGGGAATCCACCTTTCTTTATACCTTTCCCCAAACAGCAGAGCAGTCACAGTGGTGCCTGCTTCTAAGCTAGCTTTCAGGGTGGGATCCAGGACGCCCCTCCATCCTCAGAGGCTCCAGACCACAGGATTGGCACACAGCTCACTCACAGGCTCCCCAGCAGTGAGCCACACCGGTGCCACTCCCAGAACCCATGTAGCCTTGGGAAGAAGCCCCTGAAAGTGCTGTGACAAAATGCGAGGGCCCTAATCCTGTGTTCTCCCTTCTTCCCCAGGGGTTTTTCATCTTCCTTTTCCATTGTTTTCTGAATTCAGAGGTATGTTTGTTCTATTTCTTGAAAACATGAAGATGGTTTTTCATTTCTGGAAGGGTATAGAGAGCAGAAACAGTCTTGCCCCATTAGGCTGGTGTCTGGGAACATGATCCTGGATAGGCTTTGGTAGTGGTGACTAGTTGTGTGCAGTGGGGCTGCTTTCTGTCAGCCCTTCTCCTGCGTCCTGGTTGCTCAGCAACATCCAGGCATCCTCCCCCTCCCCCGCCCCCAGCATCACACAGGCCCTGCTGGCTCTGTGGAGGACAGGGGAGTTGGAGACAGTGCGGGGGCGGGGGGCCGCTGAACTGCAGAATCTACACCTGCTTGCTTGCTGTCTGGCACATCAGGGAGAGTAAGATGTAGATGTCCTCTCAACAGTCCCAAAGGCATGAGGAAGCTGGCTGGGGTGTAAGAAGGAGGTCTCCTGACTGTAGGGTTTAGGGGGGACTGTGTCACATGTCCTTCACGGGCATTGGGGCAGTGGAAGTGGGCTCATTCTCAAGTGCAGTCTGGGTGTTGCACCTGCTGTGCACATGGCCATGGGGAGGGTAGAGGCTGCTCCAGATCCTGTTTCTCAAGACCCATACTAATGCTTACATTGTGGGCTTGATGTATGAGACCCCACCAGGCTCAGTCATGGGAGGTACCTCTGCAGTGGCGAGTGGGAACAGGCAGAGAGGTACCACCCCATCTGTGCTGTTTCTCTAGAGGGTCTGTTGGTACAGGGATGTAGGTCAGGCAGGGAGGGAAGGGATGCTGGGGAGACAGGGTGAGTCACTGAGGATGATGAAGACCAGGGATGGAGGGGGTCACATGATTGCCAAGCCAGGGAGAAGCCCCCAGGCCCAAAACTATGGTCTGTGAGGTAGGAAGGAGACGTGGCCTTGAGCTGTGCATGGCCCCGTGTTTGCACTAGTTGACTTTCGTCTCCATTGTTTCTGTGGCTGGTCGGTCCAGTTCCCTCCCCCACTCCTTGTTGAGCATGTCTGGCACCCTGTCCAGAACTGTGATGAGGCCAGCAGGGACCACACCAGATCCAGCTTTCTCCCTGTGCAGGCCCTGATACAGGGGTGGGACGAAGTCTGCACCTGCCGAATGCGGCAGAGTCTGGATAGGATGCTTCCAAATCCTGCCCGTGCCCCGTGGTTGGTATTCTGGGACTTTATTTCAACACGAAACCTAGAGACCTTTGAGAATGACCTCTTATTGGTGCTCTTTCCACCACTGAAATTTCTTCTAACGAGTCCTCTGTTCTGCCTTCAAAGGTGAGGGCTGCCTTCAAACATAAAACCAAGGTATGGACCCTCACGAGTAGCTCTTCCCGCAACACTAACGTGAAGCCCTTCAGCTCCGACATTGTGAGTACCAGGCAGTGTCTTGTCTGCGTCCCCTCTTCTTGCTTTGACCCTGACCCTTACAGACCCATAGACTCCTATCTTCTATCCTTGTTACCTGGAAAGCCGGAGTGGCTTCCAGCTTTGCTGAGGTGCACTAGGCCTCTGCCCTCCTAGGCTTTCGAAACCCAGAGCTTCCAGTGGGCCTCTCCTTCCTTCCCTGAGCCTGTCCTGGGTAGGACCATGTCGTACGGGGGATTGCCCAGGTCGGGGTTGTGGAGGTGTGGCTTGGGTGCCCGTGGCTCCTGCTCAGCCTTTTCATACCTGACATGGCCTGCAGGCTGCGTGTGCTGCTCTGGGGTGACATTATGCCCTTTGGCCCTGTAAACAGCAGGGTCCTCTGTCCTGGTGGTATCACACCACCTTTTGCCCATTTCCCAGGGTCATGTTCCCAGGTCCATGTTGATTTAGGAGGATGGAAGCATCAGTTGACCAGGAGGCAGACACTGGGCATGCTGCTGGTGCCTGGGGAGGCTGAGAGTCACCAGGACAGCCCAACCTTCAGGAAGCTTATCCCTGAGAGGAGTCTCTTATCCCCTGAGAACTGGACTCTTGGTACTCAGGGATCTCAACAAGCCTGTCTTCTCAACACCAGGCTTGACTCACCTTCCCCCTGTGGGAAATGCAGAGGCAGGCAGGGCCCCCAGTTGCCTGGGGCAGATGATGGTGTTTCCATAACACCGCTGCCTGCTACCTGAGCCCAGGGCCTGGCTCTGGGGTGCTGTCCTCAGGAAGAACTCCCCAGGCAGCGTGCAGTACTGGTGCCCCCCATGTGGTGTGGTGCTGCTGCCACCATCCACACCGTTCAGTTTGTTCACGCACGTGTGGTTCTCCCACCTCCTGCTGGCGGGTACACGGCGGGAACAAGTCTGGTTGGCTTCGTTCGTTCCTGTGACCCCAGAGCCTACATTAGCAGTGGGGTGTGGTTGGTAAACACAGAGTGAGTGCAGGCACAGATGGGGACGGGTGCGAACGAATGCACTTGTGCCACAACAGGTGTGCACAGCAGCCCCTGGAAGCCATGAGAAGTCGGTGCAGAAGGTAGAGGGCTCCATGCCCCCTGCAGTTCCTTGGGGAGCAGGGGGGTCCTGATGGCCAGCGGGGGTGGGGGGAGCCCCTGCAGCTCTCTGGCCCAGCACTTCTGTACTCACTGGGATCTGGTGTCCCATCTGGGGATAGTGTCTTCCCAGCTCACTCCTTTGTGGTTTACAGATAAACGGGACCCGGCCAGGCACAGTGTCCACCAAGCTCAGCCCCTGGGACAGGGGCAGCCATTCTGCCCACCGCATGGACCTGTCTACCGTGTGAGCCGGGAGGTCTCTGATGGGCCATTTTGCTGCTCAGAACACACCCCTCAAACTGACCACAAGATACACTCTGCCTTCACCATGGGACCCTCTGCTCGCTGCTGTCTGGACATGGTGTCCTGGCCCCCATGATGGTCACCCTCGCCTCTGACGCTCCCAGTGTGATGGAGCCCCCTGCTGGGCCCAAAGCCTGATACAAGGTAGTGGGTGGCCCTCCCGGTTCTGATCCTCCTGTGGCCAAGTGACTGTGCCCCGGGCACGCCCGCCCCTGTGGGCACACAGGACCCTGGGCTGCGGCACCAGCAGGGCAAGTGAGCCTGGGTGCCGTGATGGGGCCTTAGGACCAAGGGGCGAGGTCCTGAGGGCATGAAGGCCCCCAGGCACCCCCAGAGGGTCAGGCAGAGGCAGACAGGGGCATGTGAGGAGCATGAGGAATGTCCTCAACCTGCTGAATCAGCCACAACCAGCTCTGAGAGGCCAGCGCCCACTGAAGAGGGGCCCTGGCAGGCTGGTGCCCTGCAGGCCACTCTGGCGTTCTGGCCTCTGCTGTGTGGAGTCTTTGGGCTGGGGGCTCTGGCCGCAGGGGAATGCCTCTTCTGGGTGAAGAGCCAGGTGGGGCCACTGGGGAGAGCTTCTCAGCCCTCCCTCCGCTCTCCCCACACTCCAGGCCCTGCTGTGAGCTCCTGAGCTTTCTCTCATGCCCTGGCCTCCAGAGTTGGCTGCTGCCCTGCCACTGGGCTTCCACAGCCTCGCTTCCCAGAGCTGCTTCTTGGTCACCTATAGACACCTGCTGTGTTTCTGATGGGTAGATGCCAGTGGTATGTGTGCCATGTGGCCGCAGGGGCCTGGGAACGGATCGCCACTGGTTTGTGGACTGAGACTCGGCCCTGTAGGAAATGGAGTGACTGTTACCACTGCGTGTGTGGGCAGGGTCCTTGGGACACCGGAGCCTGTGACCCTAGATGCGACCCCCCAATGCCACTGAATATCTGTGAAAGCTCAGAACAGGGCATCCATCCATCGGTGTATGAGCCATGTAGGTCAGACGTTCAGACCCGGAGCCGATACTGGAAAACCTTCCTATAAACTGTGACCGTGGTGGTACCAAGCCCTGCCCACCCCACATACCTGCCGGAACTTGGGGGCCTTCCAAACAGTGCACCCCGATCACGATGGGTGCCACAGTCAGGCATAGGCGTGTCCTGCGTGGGGGAGGTCGACCCAGAGCCCCATGTGGATCAGGTGGATCTTTGTTCTATCCCGTGAGGCCCGGCGTGCAGCTGACTCAACAGGGGAGACAGGGCAGGCACCTTGTGGCCCCCGGGGCGGGCTGGGGGCTAGAGCGCTGCCGAGACCCCTCGTAGTGAAGAGCCCAGGTGTGCCCAGCCCCTGCCCAGGCTTCTCGGGATTCCAGAGACCAGATCACTTGGATCCTTGTGGCGCCCGGGAGCACTTAGAAGTGAGAACACTGTATTCCTGAGATCTACACTTGCACCTTTGTCTCTTTCATTTCTGGCGAAGCAAATCAAGTAAGGAAGTGTCTTGACTTTAGGTGGAATTCTTTGTTTTTCACTCTGCATGTTCGTGCTACATAGCTAATATATCAAGAGAAATAAGGAATAACTTTTTATTTCTAATGAAGGAAAGCAGTGCACTTTATTTATAAGATGAAGATTTTGGCTTCTGCAGTGCTTTATTATCTACATGCAATTTGGCCAAAGATAAGAAATTGGAAAGAATCATGTGTTTAGAGTAGTTCACAGCACAGTAAAGATGATGAATGCCACTAAGCAGTGAAAAATATGCTGTGATTTTGTATGAAATAAACTCTCAATGTCCTTAAGATAAACTGTGGCCCCGAAGTCTGTTGCTTATGGGACATGCACGGGACTAAGTCTCATGACGAAAACCTGTACAGAAACACACATGGAATAGAAGGGAAGGGAGAAGAAATGTGTGGGAAATAGCGGAAAGGGAGACAGAACCTAAAGACTCCTAACTCTGGGAAAGGAACTAGGGGTGGTGGGAGGGGAGGAGGGCGGGGGGTGGGGGTGAATGGGTGACGGGCACGGAGGGGGACACTTGACGGGATGAGCAATGGGTGTTATTCTGTATGTTGGTAAGTTGAACACCAATAAAAATTAATTTATTAAAAAAAAAAAAAAGAAACACACATGGAGGAAATCCTGCCCTGGGACTCACTTGGCAGACATTTATTCAGCGCCTACTGTGTACTCAGCACATCCGCTCTGGGATATCGTGGTGGATGATGTCTTGGCTCTTGGGAGCCTCCCTCCTCAGGGCAGGGCAACGGGGGGTGAGCACCAGCCCTTGGGCTCAGGGAAGGAGGACAAGGAGGGGGTCTGTGCAGCCTTGTGTCCCCTGCATAGATGTGTGGTGTGGGGGGGCCTCAGCACCAGCCACCCGGTCTGCTTTGGCATCCCTGCAAACAGGCAGGCACACTTTCCTCGTCCAATATCATATGCCCTGTGCAGCCACCTGCTTTTAGGCTCCTCATGCTCTTCTTGATGACTTTCCATATTGCTACGTATTATTCGTAATTATGTTTGTAGTGGGTATGCAATGAAACATCCAATTACGTGTGATATTTTACCAAATCTGTGAATTATTTTACAAGATGTTTTCCATGCTTTTGTGTTAGGTACAGCCTGTATGTATTTTATTTGTATGCATATCATGTTACTGCTTTGATAGATTTTTCTCTACACATATGAGGTGGGGGATCCATAGATATTGACGTCTCTGATGTCATTCTGCTTATGTCTTCTTTTCTCATACCGATGGTTTTCCAGTTGAAAATTCAAATTGGGTTTCTGCATCAAAAAGGAAATAATTACATGGCTCTTGAAAAATTTTGCCCAATTGCTTACCAAAGCAGTTGTGGGGTAGCCACATGGGTGGCTCAGCGGTTTAATGTCTGCCTTTGGCTCAGGTCACGATCCCGGGGTCCTGGGATCGAGTCCCACATCGGGCTCCCTGCATGGAGCCTGCTTCTCTCTCTGCCTGTGTCTCTGCCTCTCTCTCTCTCTGTGTCTCATGAATAAATAAATAAAATCTTTACCAAAAAAAAAAAAACAGTTGTGGGGGGCCAGTGCTCAGTGCCAGTGAGAAATTACTGATATGTTCATCTTTCTAGTATTTTACCAGCAAAGAGTGTTTGCTGTCAGTATTTCTGTTGCCGACTTAGTATGTGCGACCTGTTCTCATCTCTCTCTTTGATCCCTGCAGGGACTAAGTGGATCTTCCTCTGCCTTTATTTTTTTTGTTTTTCTCTCAGAAGGGGGCTGGCCATTCTGAACACCTTGTCCTTACAGGGTGCACTCACCTGCTGTGCCCTGAGTTTCCCCCAGTCCCATCGTCCTGTGGATGGTGTGGAGTGCGTGCGTGTGTGTGTGTGTGTGTGTGTGCACATCCCCAAGCCACAGCAGGATGACCGTAGTTCCAGGCCTTCTGCTCTCAGACTGACCATGGACCAGTGCTGACCCCTGTGGAAGCGCCTGGGCACTTCTCTGGGCATCTGGTGTATCTGGGGTGCGGCTCCTGTTCATTCCTCCTGCCCTGTTGCAGAGGTAGCTATAGGAGGCCGGGGTGCAGCGTGGGCAGAGGGCCACCCCAGGTGGAGCCCCCCTCCTCCCACAGTGGCTGGCCCCCACTCACCTTGCTGATCCTGCTGACAGCCTGCACGCCTTGGAGTCCACATGCGGGTCCTTAGCCTGTTGGGCACACTTAGGCCTTTACAGGATTTCCTCCCATGTGCAGGGAGTTTGGCTGTGAGGGTGGGGGGTGGGGGGTAGGCGTACTCTGTTCACACCATGGGCCCAATCCCTACCTTTAGATAAAATATCATTTCCTGTGTTTTTATTGGGGGAGAATTGACAGACGGCATCACACTAGTTTCAGGTGGACAATGTCACAATTTGATGGTCATGTGCGTTGTGAGATGGTCCCCACCATGAGCCCATCTGCCACCACACACGGCTGCGGATGAGGGACACGGCATCAAACAGTGGCCACCACGCATTCTGTTCCATCCGGGGCTTCCTTGCTTTATGCCTGGATGTTTCCACCTCTGGATGCCCATTCCCCATTGCCCTGCCGCCCCTGCCTCTGGCAGCCTCCAGCCTACTCTGCTTCCATGAGTCTGGCCTTCTTCTATCTCATTTAAGTGAGATCGTGCAGTGCTTATCTTTCACTGCCTCACTTACTTCCCTCACATGACACCTTCCTGGTCCATCCATGCTGTCCCAGCAGCCAGAGCTCACCGTGTGTACGTTTTCCTTCTTTGTTCCCCCGTTGATGTGGATTTCGTGTCCCACAACCTCACTGTAGGATTTGGTGCCTTTTCTTCTCCTGCTTGACCCTCCAGCCACGGCCCCGGGCCCCAGGCTGGACAGGAGGGTGGGGACGGGCTCCCTGTCTCACTCCTGATGTGGGAACCAGTGTTTCCACCCATTCACTCTTGAGTGTATTACCTGTGGGCTCATCACATTGTGGACTTTACTATGTCAAGAGTTTTTTGAATCATATTGATACTGACTTTTGTGAAATGCTACTACTGCACCTACCCAGATGGTGGTCTGTTCCCCTTCTTTCACTCTGCTGCTGTGGCGTGGCACGTGGTCTGTGTGGGTCGTAGCATCCAGGGAGGAATCACAGCTGATCGTAAGGGATGGCTGTTTTCACAAGTCAGTTCGCTAGTGTTTCTTTGAGGATTTCATCAGGGATAGTGGCCTGCAGTTTCCTTTCTCTAGTTCCCTTTTCTGGCTTCCGTATCAGAATAATGTGGGCCTCATAAAATACGTTCGGGAGTGTTGCCTCCTTTTCAGTCGGTTGGAAGGGCTTGAGAAGGATTGGTGTTGATTTTTTATGTGTTCATACCCCCTCCCTCGATCCTGCCAAGCCCGCCAGGTGCCGATAGCCTCCCATCCGCTGGCGCACACATGCCAACAGCCACCCTTCCACAGCCGTTCTGCTGCTCTGGGGAGTGCACACAGGGAGCCCGCCAGGGTGCTGCGTGCTGGGGGTTCCTGTGGGCCAGTTTGGGGATTGTGGCGCAGCTTCCTGATGGAGTCTGCAGTGTGCTTGGTAGCATCTGTGTCCTCTAGATGTGCTCCGAGAGCCCCGGCTGTGTCCTCCCAGCTGTGGCCTGTCCCCCAGTGCGGTGAGGATGAGGAGTGGGTGTCTGGCAGCGTCCACGCAGCTGAGGAAGTGGGGCAGCTCACTCACACGTTCTCCCTTCACCCCTGGGAGGAATCGCGGGCCAGGAGGTGACTTGGTAGCAGGCTGTGTGTGGGGGCCGGGGTGCCCGGGTGATGTGAGGCTGAGCACAGAGTGCGAGCTCCAGCTGCATGCCGCAGCCTCCCTGCTGGACTCCCCGACCTGCACGAGGGCTGCCAGCTGTGCCGACTGGCTGCATTGGTGTCCCTTACACAGAAAGTGGTAGAAAACTCTTTGTCTGCAAAATAAAATGCAACATCTGAGGTTCTGGCTCCAGGATCTGCATGCCGTCCACGGATCTGTGGGTCTCTCCTTTCCTTCCGACCCTGCACCATCTGTTGTAGCTGCGTTAAGTCCTGAGACAGGGAAGCAGGAATCCCCAAAGGAGGTTTTTCTTCCTCGTGTTGTGTTGGCTCTTCCAGATACTTTGCCTCTCCATAAAGGTTTCAGAGCCACTTTGTCAGTATCTACAAATCACTTGTTGGGACACTGATTGGGATTGTGATGAATCTGTAGATCATTCTGAACAATTGATTTCCTCACGATATTGAATCTTTCAACACTTGATTATGGAGTATCTCTCCATTTATTTACATCCTGAAATCTGCTATAATTGCATCTTTAAATGTTTGGTAGAATTCGGACAGATTGACTTCCAGATTCCAATATATATTTTAACTGATTCTTAATGTTTGAAGCACATGGATTCTCTCCTCTGTTGCCTGTAGCCTGCCGATGAAGCATCACAGGCATTCTTTTTTTTTGTTTGTTTGTTTTTTTTAATTAGGAGCACCTGAGTGGCTCAGTCAGTTGTGCCTCAGTTTTTTTTTTTTTAAGATTTTATTTTTTTATTCATGAGAGGCACAGAGAGAGGCAGAGACACAGGCAGAGGGAGAAGCTGGCTCCCTGCAGGGAGCCTGATGCAGAATGTGATCCTGGTGCCCTGGCATCACACCCTGAGCCAATGGCAGATGCCAACTGCTGAGCCACCCAGGCATCCCCACAGGCATTCTTCATTTCTCTCAAAGGGTTTTGACTTCCAGCAGTTGGTGTTGTGTCCTTTGAGTTTCTGTTCTCTCTGCTTTCATTCCCCATCTGTTCTCATGTGTCGCCTACTTCTCTTACAGCTCCTAACATATGGATGATTTCAACCTCTGCACAGTGTGTGAGTCTGGTTCTGGTGCTTTCTTCCTCCTTGACCGTGGGAAGCCTCACAGTGCTGCTGTTGCTAGCCGCTGACTGAGGCTCAATTGGGTACTAGGGACCGAGGTAGGAAGAGGTCAGGGTCAGGGTTCGCACTTATCTGGCCTGAGCTGGGCTGTGTTTGTTGTTCACCTGGGGCTGCGGGTGCCCGAGGCTCCTCATTCCTGTATGGTCCATGTTCTTGCCCTTGCCCCTGAGTGTGGGCTTTCCATGTGTGCTCCTCAGAGAGACTGCAGCTTTGCAGCACTGTCAGCTGGAGCCACGGGTACCCTCTGGACCTCATGCCATGGTGGTGACAACATGGGGCAGGGGGACTGCTGTGATCTTATGATAAATCTTCATCTTTTACTGGGTCTGTGTCTAGGGTGGTGACCCTCAGGAACGTTTCTCCAGTGAGCAGACTTTTCT